TGAAGTTCCTCTGAGGGACAAAAAGGAGAAATATAAATGTTAGCTAAGACAATCGACCGATAGGTACTGAGGTGCTTTGGCTTGCATTCTTTGACGGAGGCACATATGTGACCAGTGGAATGAGCAAGTGTTTGCTTCACATTCTTACACCAATTATTGTTGATATAAGTCACCAGGCCTCCTCCAAGCTTCTGATACGTTGCCGGACGGTCGACACGGTATCCAGTGTTACCATCGATTTTGGTAATCTGTTCATCAATTTTGCTATATAACCAGGTCTCTTGTAAAAGAATTGCGCCTAAGTTAGATTATTCCATACGGCGCACAAGATCAGTTTTATCTGGTAATTTTCCAAGCAACGAACGGACGTTGTTGCTGATAATGTTGGGTATACAGAGTTATGACAAAACCCTTTGACGCAGTGTTACTCTCTGACCACTCCAATATTTCCTCCAATGTCCACGAGATTTTCCGCATATTTATTTCTCACTGATTTTCCAAATTGAAGTACTTCAGGAAGCAAATTAGAGTTCTTGATGTTTATCATGAAGCCGTCATGAAAGTTTGCGTCTGGAGTCATTGTAATTGCACAGTGAATCTATAGGAAGGATCCACAAAGCGATTTGATGTGTTAGAGCAACAGGAATTTCAGTGACTATGTGGCAATGATTGAACGGAAAATAACAGCCCGGTGAAATTTGAAGGCCCTGGCATACCACTCGATCAAAAGTTCGGAGTAAGTTTCGAGTAGGCCAGCTGGCTCCATGTTCATCTGGCCTTCCCCTCGTTGAAAAACCGTTCCTATCATGAGCTTAGTACCAAGCGGTACATATACCAAGTATGTCGACGTACGCTGTTGGAGAGCTTTAGAAATGCGCCTGGCGATTAGGGTGACTCATTAGTTTACGTGCTATGTGACGTGTGTATCAAACATTGACAGATATCTGTTCATGTTACCAACATTGGCTATGAACAGTCAAAGATTAGTTTAGCTTCAGTCATCACATAGGTGATGAAATTGTACCATACGCCAAAATGCTAGACTGCTATTCATCAATATTAGGGATCCATGACACCGCCATAATATCTTTTCCTTTAGGGAAACTAGCTGGTGTATAGATACCATAGTTTGAGATTTTCTTCCTTACTGCACCGAAATATGAGCGGTCGGTATCGAAGATAGTCAAAAGCCTTCGCTATTCGGTATCTCCAAAGAGATCAATTGATAGCAAAATACCTGAGCGATGGGGAAAACCGACTACTTTTATTAGATGGAGTAATTGTCCGCACATCACACTCCCTTCTATCCAGTAACTGCGCATACCTTAACGGACAAAGGGTTGCGCGTTCAAATGCCATTAACCATGCTTCTTTCATCTGTTTGATTTTTCGCCGCTGTATGTGTATACTTAAGTAAAAGGTGCAGAAATGTTTCTCTCTGATCCACGCATTAAAAAAATGCAACTAAAGGATGTCACGACTTAAGCTGAAGTAACTGTATTCCAAATCTACAAGCCTTCTTGCCGTATACTCTTGGGAACAATTTATAATTTACTTCACTAGCGGTTGCCATCAAAACACGTGATCTTTGGTGTGGCTGCAATTTAAACAAACTGAATTGTTAATGCCAGAGACTTTCATCAATTAATGCTACACCCATCATTCACATGACGTAATACTATGGATAGCGTGTTTGTTTGATTGAATCCATGGTCTTTCTACTAGCCCCGGTTAATGTCCCGTTATCTATTTCGATCATTTCATTGGTTGAAGATATTTCACACTGTATAACTGGTTCTTATGAGTTTATAGCATTGAAAGAAAAAAAGGTGTTTTTCAAATGACAACTTGAGTCAAAGGCCAAATGAGTGTGTCGAAAGAGATTGACATTTTGTTTAGAGAAGATTAGCCGGAGAACCACGAAGCTGCATGGGACAGGGATGTCTGAAGATGAAGAAGAATTCATTTCACTGAGGAGTTGCGAGGACGGATTTTAATTAGACGAGTTCGCTCAAAAGCGTTGAAGGCAGAACATGTCTATATCTCAAACTTTAGGAGAAATAGATAATGAACACTTATTTAGAGAGGTGTATGAAGATAGGGTAAAAATTCAGGGTGATTTGTAATAATTCTGTCTCATATCACCTGAAAGATAAACACAATAAATTATGTAGTTGATGGTAATAAAGATAATAATAATGCGATGAATATTCTGCCCATTAAACAAGAGCATTATACTCCTTCCGAAGATTGCACTTCATCAGGTGGTGCCGTATCGTCTGCATTGACCGTTACCTCTATTTCTGCTAAAGAGATAGACGTAAGTGATCCATTGTACGTCTACCTGACGTGCTTAGTTATGTAGAGAAACTGGTGCTATTAATTATTCTGAATGAAATCATTTTAAAACTTGACATATCATTCTCGATGACATTTATCAAGTGCAACATAAGAAACATCTGCGAGTTCAATTTTTCAGCCTCATTAGTTGAAGTTCATTAATCATTCTGATCGTGGTTGCAGGTGGATCGAGTGTTGAGCCACTTTGGTCTTGTCTGAACTGCGGTTCGTGTCCTTTCTCAGAACTATCGTGAAGTCTTCCAGTTTTCTTCCGGATGATGTCTATATACAGCACGATATTTTCTTTTTACGGCTATTCATCTACAGGATCAACACCGACTTGGTTCCACGACTGGTCTGACTTCGCTAAACGACCTCCCTCTTTGCAGTTTTTATGATTGCTATTATTTCAATAGACCTCATATTCATCCCACCTTTCTCCCTATGGTCAACCGAAAATTGTTCACACATGTGCTGATGATATACATCTGCGTGAATTTTGCCTTTCCACAACACTTAGGGACGTTTTACTCGTGCTTTTGTGTGAAATACTTTCCTCAACTTAGATTTTCTGCAGTAGGCATTGGAGATTGAGGATCGTTTGAGTGGCATCGTAAGGTTTCAAATGACTTAAAGCCTGCGGGAAAACCTCAGAGAAACGTTGCATCGAATGCAATAAGGTTCGACAGATGTCAATGTGAAGGGAAAGAAGAATTTTTATGGGCTTAGTGTGAGAAAGTAAACAGATGAATGCTGGATGATGTATGATTCAGTCAGTTCAAGGGTTCAGAAAAAGAACTTGGGTTGGTTGCCTTTCGCCTATCCGACAGGCAAAACCTCACGGTTGAGGACAACAGTAATCTGAGCCTCTCCTACAGCGCCGTGGGATTTAGGGCAGGAACGTCCTTTTGCTTGTCTGAGGTGTAATGCTTTTTCACAAAATTCTGAAAGTGGCAAAGACGAATCTGTTTTTCATTACTTCTCATCGGGTACACACAGTGCACAATGAAACATAGAACCATAGAATAGCTTAATAATCCGTCATTGGTACACTTAATTATTGAGGTGGTTGATGTTGGGGACTTTGTCCGGATGCGTCGGTCAAGGATGAGTCAAACTGGTATGCCTGTTCTGCGGTCGCACTGGTCAACGCACAGTCAGGTACAGGTAGTGATCGAACTCGGATGTCATGACTGTCATCTTGGAAACATATTTCAATTCCCAGTATCATATATATGTCGATAGGTATGGCAGAAGAGTATTTATTCCGAACATTATCTGCCACTGTAATATTCATTTGATTCTTGTATTGTCATTTGAATATGCACTACCTTGTGTGACACGATAAACTTCGTTGTACTTCGAAAGTTGCTGCTCAGAATTCAAAAATACTTTATGCAGAACAGCACGGAAGTTCATTCTTTCTAATGAATGATTTCTGTTTCATGAGAGTGTTTATTCTGTCGGACTAGTGTTATTGCAACCCACTCAGTGAACACAGGTCACGAACTGGCACTAAAGAGGGGAGGGGGGGGTGAGGATTCAAGATAATCTACTGATTAGCTGGTAATCGATCAAAATAGACGGAACAGAATCCTGTCCACAACCGAGGCAATCAAAATTGAGCTCAACCGATCGGTTGAAAAAGTATTGAAAATCGATTCTCGTACCTCGGGTGAACTGAACTCCGTTTCGCCTGTTCGCCAGCCTTGGTAATTTGTTTGCAACCGTTCCGTCACCAGTCGGGGTGAAATCGTCGGTGCTTGTGAAGTGTCTGTGTGCTGTGTTCACAGAACTAGTTGCGTTGATCTAAAGTCAGTGCGACCGCAAAACAGGCATACCAGTTTGACGTATCCGTGACCGATGCATCTGGACACAGTCTGCAACATCAACCATCACAATAATTACTTGTATCATCCTACACGGATTAATACGCTGTTTTGTGATTCCATATTTGATTGTGCCCTGCACTACCTGATGGGAAGTAACGAAAAAGCAGAGCTGTCTTTGTCATTTTCAGTTTTTCCTCAAGATTAATTATTGTGAAGCTGTTGAATTTAAAGAAATATGTGTATCTTTTACCTCTTAGCTCACTTTTAATCCATTATTGGAGGCAATTTCTTAACCGACTGTTTGCATACATGTCAGTAAACCCAATGTCTTACATAGATATATTAAATAATCTCTCGGTTCCATTCCAGTCACACGTAAAAACCAAACGGAACCATCCTTGAAACATGGGCTGTATTTTTCCACTAAATACCTGAAATTGGGCTCGCCCGTCACAGTTTCTGTGGTCTTCACCTACGCAAACAAATACGGGAACCATAGGCAGTGCTCCAAATTAGCGATCTAATGAATCGGACTGACGTCTACTTCACATCTACCGCCCCTGGTTGCGTGCGCGTTGTAAACGCATCAACCCAATTGGTTCAGTGACACATCTGTTTCATTGCAAAGCGTTCCTTTGTGCACGTCTGCGTGCGTGCGTGCGTGTGACCGCTCCCTTTCATAACCGTGGAGTTCGATCCGAACAGAAGCCAGCAAGCGGATTTCTAACGAGACAGATACACGCTGCGCCTACTGCTTCATTAACGGAGGCACAAAATAGGTGATGTGCTGACGGAACAAGTAAAAGCAACATGCCTCGGCGTCAAAAAATGAGCAAACCGTCATTCGACTATCGACTCGATGAAGATACAGACCCGGAAGCTGGTGGTCCATCCGAGCTGGAGAGCAGCACTTCATCCAGCCCCAATATCTCCCATCGGGAATGGTACGACAAACAGATTGGAAAGAATCCATACTATGAAGTTTATCACAAACCGGTGGTCAACCGTCCAGGAGCTCTGCTCATCTTGTGCATCCTGTCTCTATGTGTCTCTCTCACTGTTACTGCGCTAGATGCGCTCATCGTGTGCAAACATCTGAAAGATGTCTATATGGCTACCGGTCTGGTAGCCGGACCTGCCGGATTTCTGGCAAGCTTTTTTGGTATGATTTTTTTGCGTCTTCAAAGCAACTGTTTGGCCATTGTGGTTCTCAACATGGACACGAGTGCTCTGTGTCTGAACGCGTTCTGCGCGTTCCACAGCATTGTGATTGCCACGGTTGGTCAACTCACGGATATGTCCTTGTGGGCCAAACAAGTGGGTATATCCGTTTTGTGCTTGATCTATGTGTGCCTTATTGTGGCACATTTCATTCTGATGAGTATGGCTACATGCACTCGATTCAAATGGAAATCAACCGATTCCAAACAACCCAAGTGAGAATGGAACCACTGTGGCCGCAGCGCTCGTATGCATTTTTCAGTCTTCCGACAAACGTGTTTCGTGGATGATTGACACTGGTGGGCTCTTGGTTCGACTGATGTGTCAGATCCGAACACCAAAACTATACACACGGATTGTAGAAAACGTCTAATTTGTTAAGGACCTGGTTGGTGAACTCCAAAATTTGTGCGTTCCAACTTATTTATTTTTTCCTTCTGTTCTTTTCTATGAAATATATTGGATATACAAAATTTGAACGTGAGACAATAATCTGGCTTATCTGTTCAATTCGGTGATTCGAATTAACTGGGTTCAAGTCACTTGTTTCCTTTATTTTACCCGGGGGCTACATATTTAGCATAAAGCACCCATCTAAATAGACAGGTCACAAACACGGAGGGGCNGGCCGTACGGTGTCATTCACTCAAAGTAATGCTTATGTGCCTGACGATTTACATTGTTTTTCACAGATTGGGTTTGCGATTGTGAATGACTAAAGCTTACGCTTGTTTTAGTAAATTTTCTTATTAAGATGTTGTTATTGGCATGTGTTCGGATTATCCGTGACATAATTGCCTCCCTGTCCCACTTAGGGAAAATGACTAGGCATCCAGACTGTAACCCAAAATGCAGTTTGGTCTAGCGGAGGGAGGCAATGATTTTTCACATTCGCTATTTCGCTGACCAAAAAATGGGTTCTATGCGGAAAACACGTGGATAGGTGCAGCGAAATAATTATGGAAAGATTATAAAAGCCCATGCTGGTGACTGCTGTGCTGAAATTTGTGAAGGAAAAACGATATCTTTATTTAACCGCATAGTTGAAGCTCAAAAATGATAAATTAATTATTAAATAATTAATAATTGATAAATAACCGCAGCATTTGACTGCAGTCGAGTTTTCACTTTAGAATTTATCTTTGATGGAGGAACCTGGCAAATTAGGAAATTATAGAGGATTCATATAGCGATGTACAGTGGGGTGCTCGAATATGAGAAGGCTGACATTTATTTATTTAGAATAGTGTTCAAAGGAAATATATAAAATGAGCTTAACTTTTAGTTATCAAATGTTTAAAATGTTTGAAATAGTTAGAATTGGTTGGGTGTTAGGTGACAGTATGGCGTCTTGTAGAATTTCAACAGAGGTCAACGAGGCAGGATTCTTTCGGTAAATCGGGCTCACTGCAAGCGGTTTTTGAGTTAGCTGAGTAAGATATGATTAACAGAGGGGTGAGATGAAAGCTCGTATTTCTGAAACCTAGCGAAAGGATCACTATTCATCTATAACTAAAAGACTCTGACAGTGTTATATTCCCTGTCTATCACAGATCAAATATAACGCGACAATGATGCACAAAATGGTTGTGTCCGTAGACGCAATATTGGGCATTTTTTGTCGAAGGTTTTCAAACATTTTTGGGGTGAATGAAGTGCAGGTTATGCGGCGGAATTTCAATGAATCCTTCGTGAGAACTGGCGTAAAATTGATTAAAAAGACCAGAAACCTGGATTCCATCTTATTACTTTGTCAGCATATCACGAACTAATGAAATCAGCGTCACACATCATTCTCTCAAAGTTATCTACCAAATACCGCCGGGCTCACTAGCTTCATCAGGTTCTACCAGACTTAGTTTATTGTAGAAGTCAATGTGATTAGAAATAGAGAATAGGGGATCGGCAGGAATAGGTTTAAGCCGCCGTTTACCCGGTTCAATAAGACCCCTTGGTACAAATTAAGATAATGCTGTTCAGTTGTTGTTGTTGTGGCTGAAAGGTGAAAGCCAGTAATTTCCAAACTGCATCCAAGGTATGTGAATATATCTGAATGCGTAGAAGAATCTCACAGAGCAGCACAGTAATTCGTTTGACCTCACTTTTGATGGTTCCAATGAAATTTCTGATCAATTAACTGTCACTTGTCTTATATATTCGTTCCCTCAAGCCCAGCAGTTGGTTAGGAAAAGAGTAAACGAACAAGATAACAAAAGTTGCAATAATCACCATGATGACAATGGGAAGTCGATAAATCAGAGTGAGCCAAAATAGAGACCCGGTTTCCAGGACAATATCTCACATGATGTGGCCAGAATGCGATTGAACGTCAAGTACCATAGAGTTTTGATTGGTGGTGAATTTCTTGTAGCTGTGATTACTACACAGAGGGATAAATTTCAGTGATGATTTACTCAGTACGGCCGATACTTGATCAGCGGGATGCACCTCAAAGAATATACTTATTTATCAAAAAGTCTCAATGTGAATTCTGGTTGGAAAGTACATAATGCTTGATAGTTCACACTCGTTGGGGACTACATCTCGGAATTTTGGAATTGGCTACGAACGAGGCACAGGAAAATTTCAAAGTTTTGCGTTTGGGTGAATCGGAGGATTTGAAAAAGTCTTCCCACATGCAAGAGCGTGAATGATGGGGCAATATATGCTCAGGAATTTCAGTTTATATTGTAGTAGGAAATCAAATAATTGAGCTCTGGAATGAGTAAACATTTCCTTGGCAAACTACCATTAGTGTTTTTGGATGTCCAGAGTTAACACTCTTCTGTGATTTCGGTAATCAATGGACATTGGAAACAGTGGGTACCCTTTATTCATCGCATCAAGACCGAAAGAAGACATGTCGCGAGATAATAACATTTCGTGTAGTCTTCTCAATCGCTGACGTAAAACAAACAAGCACTTTTATAACACATGGGTTTGTAAATCTTAGTGAATGGACATGTACAGTTAGACAGAAGCTTTTAGAGTTAAAAACATTGGTCAACTTCATGCTAAAGAATGCTAAAGAATCGTTGTTTTCTTCCTCATGGGATATGGCAGTCAGATCAACCCGGTTAAAAACAAATCTCCCGCAAGAAGACGACACTCGATTGTGTGAATTCACTTCGAGAAATGTAATAAAGTTCTGACCACTGAGGTCACGTTACCGCTAAGCACAACTGACAAGCTTTCTACGCAGGGCTACTATCCTCTGTCTGTATCCACCACGCATTTCAGTCATTCGTTTGCATTTACCACGCGCACTTCTTCCCAAATGAAGTACGTCACACTTAGACGTAATGTGCATAATCAACACAAATCAAATGGTGCTGTTTGACCAAGCTTGTCTTTGTCACTCTGTTGTCAGGTATGCATATGTACCGCGAACTGGACATGGTTTCGTCGATAAGAGCCAGATTATTCTCACAATTCGATCGAATAGAGTCCCATTCATTGACAGAACCCCGAACTGTCGATACATTTATCCTGTTCGTATATATATAAGCCTCTTAAAATTTCAGTCTTTTGTCTTTTCATTTATGATTGGTCCCTGAAATCCCATCTCCACATTCTACATAGTATTACGCTCATCGTATTCCATGTCAATGTGTCTTCGAGGAACACTATTCACTGAACACCCTTGCATCGAACACGCGTAGGAGCGTTTTCTCATAGTCTACATATCGCAGTTGCTTTCGTGTATCCCAGAAGAGTGAATGGCCGCATAATGAAGCTTAGAATTCCCTTTAAAGACCATCTCGAAAGTGATGTTAGTGAATTATCCCATTGTACTTTGATACACGCCATTCAACGAAGTGTATTACTATTGCGGAGCCAACCGAACAAACTTCAGTGATAACTGTATGACAAAAAATGTTAAACTGCAAAAGAAAGTGCCATAGCTTTGTCAAAAATGTGTTGTAGGAACAAGCTCGTCATTTGTTCTTTATGAAGCATGCAAAGTAATGGATTCGTTTATATATATATATATATATATATATATATATATATATTATATACATAAACTCCTCTGCATTTGATTCCATTCCTAGATCTAGGTTGTTACAAAAACTGGGATCCTTTGAATGCCCCAAGCAGTTGTAAGCTTGGCTATCCAACTATTTTATTGATAGAATACAAACCACTAGATTGGGGAAGGTCATATCGAAACCCTTGGTCAGCAACTCTGGGGTTCTTCAAGGAGCTGTGGTATCCCCATACTTATTTTCCACTTATATTTGCGATATTCAGATGACGTCGTGTTGTGCCCGCCCATTTCTTCTTGTTCTAGTCTGAGCTCTTTGACCGACTTTCTCGATCAAATTCATTCATTCTCCTCCTCATTGGGGCTAATCCTGAACCCCAGTAAATGTGTTGAGTGTTTATATGGCTTCGCTTGCTCCCCATATCCGACAGACCTCGCAGTGATGAATAACAATCCCTTATCCATTGTGAACTCTGTCAAATATCTTGGTGTAACCATAAATAGCAATCTTTATTGATCAACCCACACCCACGACTGCATTGGTAAATTGCAGCGCCTATCATTTCAAATACGAAAGCTTAGTCAGTTTCGTGCATCCCAGTCAGTTATTTCTATCTTTGTTTGTCAGTGTGTTTTCCATCTTACTCTACTGTTCCCCGGTTATTTTTCCTGGCTTACTCAAACAGGATTTCAAAGTCTTACGCCGCGGTGTAACCAGTATTAATCGTGTCTCTTCTATTCTTGTGAGTAAGTTAGATTTAAAACTCTCAGAGTATCATGTAAATTTCTGTGTGAACTTTGCTGAAAGGATTTTCACAGATTCTGACCACCCATTGCACGCAGAACTGACACGGTGTCGTTTCCATCATTCAACACGCTCCGAAATCCACCTAATTTCATCTCGAATTATCGCTTACCGCAATTCACCTATGCCGTATCTTGCTCGTGTACTCATAAACAAAGAGCGGACAACCAGTGAACTTTGTCTTAACCTTGGATTATGAAATATCCTCATGTCTGTAATTTTTCTTCATAGTTCTTTATGTACATTGTGACGGTTAGCGTGTATGACTATTTAACTGACATGTGAGCTCCAGTGCTAGCAAAAGTTATACATCATACAATACACAATACAATGATACGAATATGTTCTTCTCCTTGTGGTCGAGGACTTTTTGGCACAGTATATCGGGGTGTCGTCGCACTATTACTACTACTACTACAACTATCA